CAAATTTCCCTGTCTAAAAGCCCCCCCCCCCCCGAATTATTTCCTGAGATGCCGTTTTTGACAACCAATTGGTCTCAGATTTTACATACGCATGCCTTTAATGGTGGCAAATTAAACTTTAGAAAATGGGAGAGGGAGGGGGGGGGGGTAAACACATGTTCTACCATTCATGGTATTCTAATGAAAGGTCTCATCGAAACAAAGGGGTCAAAGATTAATTTTATCTCTCATTGTATTCTAATTAAAGGTCTCAACGAATGGAACAGTTTTCTACAAACTACGGCCCTTCTTTTCGTCCTCTTAACAAAGTACGGGGTGGAGTCGGAAGAGGGGGGGGAGCGGGAGTGGAACTAGTTTTATCCTTCATGGTACTCTAATGAAAGGTCTCAACGAAAGGAATTAATTTATACTAACCATAGTCTTCCTCCTCGATCCCTTGTCGTGATGGGTTATAATTCCTTATATCTTAAGAGTGAATTGTCAAAGGAAAGTGCCTACAAAGGGCGATTGGGACCTTTGGAAGAAATATAACCATTGGGCATTTAAATAAAATTTGATACATAGCCACTTGCAATAAAACCAAATTTAACGCCAGTTTCAAAATTTCGTTTTGCGCATGCGCAGTCCCAACTTTCTGATTTATGGAGGGATTTAAATGAAATTTCATACATATAGCTACTTGGAATAAAAGTAAATGTAGCGCCATTTGCCAAATTTGGTTTTGTGTAGGATGTGCAGTGCCAACTTTCTTATTTATAGAAGAATTTCGTAGGGGTGTTTAAAAAAATGCGCCCCTCAAACCCCCCGGTAGGTACCTCGATCTCTCACACAAAAGATACGCTTTCAACACTGTTATGATACTTTTTAGAAAGGGACAGCCGCATCTTCGTTTACTGAGGAAAGGTTCGTTGATCTTTTCTCAAAAACGGTCGTGAAAGTACCAGGTACTAGCACCAAGCGGGTTTGTGGAAGAACGTAGCATCGGGGGGTCTGGGGGGTATGGAGTACCCCCCAGAAGAGCACGTACCCTCGGTAATAGATAGAGGATTGGATAATTCTTTCGCGAATTCTAGTCGAGTCTTCGTACACATTGGGGGTATTCACTGGGGAGTATTCCATACCCCTCTAACTCCCTGGTACTACGATGTCTCACACAAAAGTTACTCTTTCAACACTCTGTTATGATACTTTTTAGAAAGAGACAGCCCGATCTTCGTTTCCTGAGCAAAGGTTCGATGATCATTTTTCAAAAATGGTCGTGAAAGTACCAGGTACTAGCACCAAGCAGGTTTGTGGAAGAACGTAGCACCGGGGGGTCTGGGGGGTATGGAATACCCCCCAGAACAGCACGTACCCTCGGTAATATATAGAGGACTGGATCATTCTTTCGCGAATTCTAGTCGAGTCTTCGTACACATTGGGGGTATTCACTGGGGAGTATTCCATACCCCTCTAACTCCCCGGTACTACGATCTCTCACACAGAAGTTACGCTTTCAACACTGTTATGATACTTTTTAGAAAGGGACAGCCGCATCTTCGTTTCCTGAGGAAAGGTTCGATTATCTTTTCTCAAAAATGGTCGTGAAAGTACCAGGTACTAGCACCAAGCAGGTTTGTGGAAGAACGTAGCACCGGGGGGTCTGGGGGGTATGGAATACCCCCCAGAAAAGCACGTAACCTCGGTAGTGAATAGAGGACTGGATAATTCTTTCGCGAATCCCCTATAGTCGAATCTTCGTACACATTGGGGGTATTCACTGGGGAGTATTCCATACCCCTCTAACTCCCTGGTACTACGATGTCTCACACAAAAGTTACTCTTTCAACACTCTGTTATGATACTTTTTAGAAAGAGACAGCCCGATCTTCGTTTCCTGAGCAGAGGTTCGATGATCTTTTTTCAAAAATTGTCGTGGAAGTACCAGGTACTAGCATCAGGCCGTTGTGTGGAAGAACGTAGCTCTGGGGGGTATGGAATACCCCCCAGAAGAGCACGTTCCCTCGGTAATAGATAGAGGATTCGATAATTCTTTCGCGAATTCTAATCGAATCTTCCTACACACTGAGGGGTATTCCATACCATATTTTACTTTTAATTTGTCTAAAAATCATCAGACGAGAGGATTGAAAAAAATTTAATTTTTACACCACGCCAACAATTGTCTTCATATATTTATTGAATAAATGGGACTACCGTATATTGTTCACACGGCATGTAAGGAACGGTTTTTAATATGGGACTAAACTGGTAATTGTTATTATCAGTAACACTCACTTGATTTCTGTTCCAACCCCTTCTTCCTGCTCTCATTGCTGAGATCTGAAACCCTCCGACGGACGAACGAAATTCGTAGCTTTAATTGGTATTTCGATGAAAAATATACGCCAAAATGATTGCCTTGCCACCTTCCCTCCTTTGATACTTTTAGTACTTAGAAATCTTAATTAATTACTTTTCAACAAATTACTTGCGACATTTTGCCAATTAAAAGGGCGACTAATCCCCAGGCGCTTAGAAATAGCTTTAAAAATTTGAATTTCTATGAGATGTCCGAAGTTTTCCATAAGAGATTTTTATGGATCCTTTAGTACTTCTGAAACGTTTTAATTAAATTTTCCAAGGAGGCTAGTACTTTAAGGGTTGTTTTGGAAATATAGAATTACCTTCTCGACAGTTTGAATTTCACTCGTTGAAATTGATATTGAACGAGTCAATAATAATTAAGGGAAGATTCAAGTCTAGGGATCCGTTTAGGGGAAAATTCAAATTTTCGCCAATAATTTTAGGTTATCGATTTCTCACGGGGCAAACCACCTGCCCGTGTGAATGGCTCGATAGCGTCTTCTGCAATTTTTTTTTTGCTCGCCGATTCGCCGCGGAAAGGAATTTTTCGTCATTCGAATAAATTGGTTTCTGGCGCGATTACCGTAAGTTATGTATTAATTTAAAAAAACCTGGAGGTTAATTAGTCGAATTCGGTCGGCTTCGTCGTCGTAAAAGGAGGCAAGGAGCGAGGTTGCGTCGACGACACGCAGGAGCGAAATGACGCGGACGGCTTCAGAAGGGCCGTTTGAAGTGTCTATATTATGTTGTTATGTAATTCAGCCCCTCCATCAGGACTTCTCCCACCCGGCGCCAAGGCACACTAGGATGGATGCTGTGTTTCGAGTTTTTCTAATAATCTCATGGAGCTAGTATAGTTTTTGCTATCTGCACGAGCACTTCTTTTTTGCGTATTTCTTTTCAGTGCATTTTTTTTGCTTTCGCTTATTATTTTTATACACAACTCACACATCTCAACCCTCGCGATAGTGACTACACAACAATTTCTCCACCTTTTTTCAGTTCGTCCGTTTTCGTTTTTTTGTTTTTTAAACCTCAAAAACTTCTCAATTTTTAAAAACGTTCTTAGTGCAAATGTAATTTGTTAAAACGGAAACCAGTGACCGCCAAACAATTCGATCGTTTCGCCAGTGACCACCAAACTGGAGGGACGCGTGGAGTACCGCACCGGGGGCCTGGACTTCCAGTCGGCCCCCGTTCACCTGGAGAACACGAATTATTCCCACCTGCAGAGGTCCATCGACAGTCTGCGCTCCCTTGGCGATCGTTTGGGCGAGCGGAACGTGGACCTACGTTTGAATTTGCACAACGAGCGGAACGGCTTGAACACCTCGGCCTCGACCAATCACCTGGGCCTTAATCGGACGTTTAACGATCGCGATTTCTTACAAAATCGCCCCCAGGAGCGGAACGTCGTCAATTACGATCGGATTATGGGCGAACCGCGCGGTTTCAACGATCGAATCGGCTTCGACAGGAGCGTGACGGCGGAACGATTGAATTTGGAACGTTCCCTCCTGGCCCAAAACGCAAACAGGGTATTATCGGATCGAAATAACATTAACGCTAACAATAATGGAATGAATGCGGATCGAAACGGGGCGGAACGTCTTCGGACCGGCCTGGACATGCGAGAATTGAACAACGACGCGCGACAAAATATGAACGAGGCGACCAAGTTTCGGGATTATAAAGCACATTTGGACAGTTTGCGAAACATGGAAAGTTCAAGGTCGCTCGAGGGGAAGAACGACGAGGAGCAGGGGACGCCGTCGTCGCCTTCAACGCCGCTTTCGGTGGGAGAGGGCTTTCCCGAGGAAAAGGTATTTTCCGTCGATTCTAGACGCACATTTTAGACCGCTCGCTCCCCCGACCAAAATCTGCTTATTGCATACGTTACGCTGATTAATGGATTATTTATGTTTTACTAATCGTGCGAAAATGGCTGTCCATTTTTTTTAAATTTTACGTAAAACTGGAATAGCATCTCCTCTTTGCTACTCACTTTCAAAATGTCTACGATTATATATTTTTCAGAATTTTTCTATCCGCCCCCTTTACCTCTCATTATGCCATATTATAAAATATCAATGATATTTGGCAAAAAATAAACGATCCAATTTTGTAATTTTACGCAAAGATTGCTGTGGAAATCAAATATGACAAAAAAACAAATTACGCTCTCGATTAAAAAAAACTGACAAATCGTGTGCCCCCCACAATTTTTGTTTAATCCCTGATGCCCCCCCCCCCGTTGTTTTACTTAATTTTGGTAAAATAATTTTCGTATTTTCATCCAATAATTTTGTTGTCACTGCTTTAAAAAAATAAAAATAATAATCAATTAGAAAATAAATAAATTTGTGTAATTTACGATTTAAGATTAAATAGGTATTCCAAAAATCATCTTAGATTTTTTAAACTGGCAAAGTGGACGTCCCCTGTCATTTTGTTATTTTAGATTTGCTTTCGTTCCCCTCGGTTAATTAATAAAAAAATCTTTAAAGAAAGATAGTCCAGAATCCTGTGCCATAACAATTATATTTGTTTTACATGCCGGTTTGTGTGTGAAATTGAAAATAAAAGAAATATGAATAAAAAATGTAAAATTAACATTATGCTCGATTTAAATTAATTAAAATTCAAATTATATGTACAATTTTGGAATTTTACATGACGTTTTCTGAGAAAACCAAGTATAAAAAAGCGAGGAACTTACTCCCAGTATTTTAGATTTTTAATATTACGCCCCCTCCACAAATTTTATTATTTTGCTCACTCTCGAAATGTAATGATCCAGCACTGCTACGATAAAAATTAAGAAATATAAACAATACAAAAAAAGGATCCAAAATTAACATATCAGTTCTGAATTAAACGTTTGATTAGAAATTGCACAACTGAGTATTTAAAAAAAATTCTAATTTTACATGACAGTTTCTGTCTATGGACTTACGCTCTCGGTATTTTACATTTTTTATTTGCCTCCTCCCGTGTTAAGATACAAAATTTTGAATTTTCTGTTTCCTGTGAAAATTTAAAAAAAATCCGAAATTATGCCCGAGTACTTACAATTTTTTTAAATGTCTCAGACGCTCCCCATAATTTATTATTTTATATTTTCCTCTTCCTCATTTTAAGATGGAATGTCTTGAATTTTGAGGATTTCTTCGGTCTCTGTGAAAATTCTTCCTCCACAATTTATTTCCTACTTTACTCTTTCCCTCCATTGCGAGATACAGAATTTAGAATTTTAAAATATATATGTTCCCTCCATTTTCATATACAAAATCTCGAAGTTTAATAACGTTTTCGGTTTTTGGTTAACAAAACCAACTCGACAATGTGTTATTTGCCCCCTTCTCAAATCTTGAATTTTTATGAAATTTTGGCTATCCGTGAAAATTGAGTTTTAGAAGTAATATGAAATTAGACCCCCGGTATTTTTGATTTGTTAAAATTTTTCGAATCGGGGACCGTCTCTCAATTTATAATTTTTTATTTTGCTCCCTCCCATGTGGTCTCTGTGGGATTTGAATATCACTCGGAATATCAAGGATCATCCATTTTCGATTCTTTAAAATTTCACCAATGAGGCGCTATCTCACAATGTGTTGTTTGCCACTTTCCCCAACTTTGAGATTTTATGAAATTATCGCCCTTAGAAAATAGAGTAGCATAAGTAATCGAAATTAGACTCCCGATAGTTTTGATTTGTTAAAATTTTTCGGATCGGGCACTGTCTCCCAATTTATTATTTTTTATTAGCCCCCTTCCCCTATTATGAGATGCCAAATTTGGAATTTTAATGAAGATTTCGGTCTTTGTCAAAATTAAGTATCAATACTCGCAGTACTTTCAATGTTCAAAATTTTTATGAATTAGCGAAGGGGACAAATCAAAAGTAATAAAATCTGGGGGGGGGGGGGTAATAAAATTTTAAAGAATCAAATTTGGTTCCCGATTACAAAAACGTCATTAAACTTCAACATTGTAATCTTAAGATGAGGAAAAGGGCAAATCAAAAATAATAAATTGTCAAGAAGGCGGCAGATTCGTGGAATCTTAAAGTATCAAATTCGGTTTTCTGGATCAATTTCCGAAAAAAACAAAAACGTCATTAAACTTCAAAAGTTTGTATTTCAAAATTGGGAAGGGGGCAGATAAAGAAATATTGTGAGAGCGCTTGAGGAATGAAAATACTGGGAGTGAAATTGCGGTTACTTTTAATATTCAGTTTTCTTGACCTTCATTTCCACAGAGATCAAAAACGTCATCAAAATTCAAGGAATCATGAAATAAAAGAATCATGGCAAAATTAATAAATCATGGAGGGGGGGGGGGGGGGGCTAATTCAAAAAATGTTTTAGAGTCGAAATTACTGGGAGTACAATTTTGGTTTTTAATGTTTAATTAAGAGACCCAAAACGTGATTACTTCAAGATTTTATATGTCAACATTTGGGGAGGGGGAAAATGATTCATTGTAGGAGTCAAATTTTATAAAATGAAAAGTACTGGGACTACAATTTCGGTTTTTAGATATTTAATTTTCACAAGAGACAGAAAGGTCCATTAAATTCAAAATGTTGTAATCGAGGTTGTAAAATAGGGGAAGGGGGCAAATAAAAATAATGCTGCTGTTTTATAAAATTGTAAAGAATCAAATTCGGATTCCTTGAATTTAATTACAAGCAGCGGGGGGGGGGGGGGGGTTGTTATTGACTGTTCTTTAATGTTTAGAAAAACGGACGTCTAAGTAATTTCATGTCAAAAACGGAAGGGGCCAACACAAAATGATTGTAGAATAGTGGGGGGGGGGGTGATTCGTCAGATTTTGAAGAATCAAATGCGGTTTCCTTGATATTCAGTTTCACAGAGACAAAAACGTCATTAAACTTTTGTATCAACATGGGGAGGGTGACAAATAAAAAAAATAAATTCAAAGGAGCGCGGGGCCGATTGTTATTTACTGTTGTTTTCAAGTTTAATCACGTTTTTGGTCTTTATGGGGTTTGAATATACAGGAAACCGAATTTGATTTTTTCAAATTTGACGAATGAACCCCCCTTCTGCAATTTTTTTTTAATTAAACATTTCTCACAGGTTGTTATTGTTTATTCACCCTCTTCCTTTATTTTGAGATACACAATTTTGAATTTCAATGAACTTTTTGGTCTTTGTGAAAATTAAGTCAAAAAGCTGAAATTCTATTCCCGGTACTTTCAGTTCCAGAATTTCTTATTTTTGCCCTGCTTCTCTCATTTTGAGATGCAAAGACTTGATTTTGATGATGTATTCGGTCTCTGTGGAAATTGAACATAAAAAATAACCGAAATTACAATGCCAGTATTTTCACAATGTATTATTTTTTATTAGTCCCCTTTCCAATTTTGAAATATAAAATTTTGAAGTTGAACGATGTTTTGGGTCTTAAAAATTGAATATTAACAAAACAACGGTAAATAACAATCAGCCCCACCCCCACGCCGCTTACAAATTGTTTTATTGATGCATAGTCTTGAATTTTGATGGCGTTTTCGGTCTCTGTGGAAATTGAATATCAAAAGTAGCCGAGAACACTTCCAGTATTTTTTATTATTTAAAATTTCACGAATCAGGCGCTCTCACAATGTATTTTTCTTTATTTTCCCCCTTCCGCATTTTGAGATACAAAAGTTTGGGTTTTAGGTGAAATTTAATATCCATGACACCGAATTTGTTTTTTAAAAAATTTTGTAATCAGCCCCCTCCCCTACATTTAATTTATTATCGGCCCCCCCATCCCCATGTTGAGGTACAAATGTTGAAGTTTACTGACTTTACTATTTGTGAAACCGAATTCGATCGATTCGGCATGCGATATGTTTAATGATGGTTTTCGGTTTCTGTGAAAATTACTAAAAATACTAACAAAACAACAGTCAATAACAATCAACCCCCCGCCCCTTGCAATTTATATTTATTATTTGCCGCCTTCCCCATGTTGAGATACAAAATTTTGATGGTCTCTGTTAAATTGAATATTAAGGAAACCGAATTTCAAGCTGCAAAATTTGACGAATGAGCCGCCCCCCCCCCTCCGATTTGATTTTTAACATGTTATGCCTCCTCACATTTTAATTTTTTATTTGCCTTCTTCCCAATTTTGAGAGGCAAAATTTTAATGACGTTTTTGGTCTTTTGGGTCGAATTCGATTTTTCAAAATTTGACGCCCCCTACAATTTATTGTTTATTGGCCCCCCTTCCCTATTTTGACATGCAAAATTTCGAAGTTTAATCATATTTTCGGTCTTTGAGCTGATTCTTTGAGGTTCTAATGACGTTTTGATTTGATTCCTTGACATGCAAAGTAATGACATTTTCGGACTTTGTGAAAATTGAATATTAACAAAACAACAATCAATAACAACCAGCTCCCCCTCGCTCCTTGCAATTTATTATTTTTTATTTTACGCCTTCCCCGTGTTGAGAATTTGGGAGTTCAATGACGTTTTTGATTTCTGGGAGATTGAATATCAAGGAATTTATTTCTTCCCCCCCCCCCCCCCCCATAATGAATGTTAGTATTGCTCCCCTTCTCTATTTTGACACACCAAATCTTAATGGTCTTTGTGGAAATTTTGAATTTGTGAATTGTGAAATTTCCAAAAAAATCGGGTGCCCCCAATATTTATTCTTTTTCTATCTTTAATTAAATGTACAAAATCTTGAAGGTTAATTATAAGATCGCGTAGAGTTCTCGGGTTGTTCCAAAAGTTATTAAAAATGCAAAATATAAGTGAGTAAATGTCCTCATTTTTTTTATGAATTTAATTTGAAA